TAATCCAGTTATCATTGTATTTGAGAGAAGGTTTTTTTTTTTCCATAATTCCAAATGTGTTTGAAGAAGCAAGTCATTCTGCAAACAGCTGTTTCTGTTAAGATACAGTGACTGACAAAGGGTAATTTTCAGCTTCCTAGGGTCTTTTTCTTATTCTGAAGGATGGTAGAGCTTTCTCTCAGGAACATACAAAAGGTACATTTCACAGGGTTTTTTTTTTTTACCACCGAGTACACGGGAAGTCTTGTATCTGACAGACTCACTCTCATAACTCCCAAGACTTAGGTGGGATTTGAATCTCTACAATGCTACTTTTCTCTCTCAGTCAAAGGCTTTGTACTCATTTGTGAAAAGCCTGAAGGTAGGAAAAGGGAAATCAATTGAATTTTGGAGGTTTTATAAATGCTCTGCAACTTTTTCCTTTGCCTGTCATCAACTTTTGATGCAGATGTATTTCAGAGATTTCATTGGCCATTTTCTCCCCCTGCTGCTTTTCGGGAGCATTTTCAAAGAGAGTAGATGGAAAAGGGGAGCTGGAAAATTCATAGGTGTAGTAGCACTTATTTCAGCAGAGAATCACTTTCCTATTGAATCACTTTGCTATTTTCTTAACTCAGTAATATAGTGAAAGACCAGATGAGAATGATTTGTTTTTAAGGCCAAAGGAAATGGAAAAGAAGTGAAATTGAGGCGAGCATAAATGGGCTTGCACTCTTATCTCTTCAATGCTTCTTTAATCTTGTGTGTACACGTAGGGGTGGGAGAGAGATTTACGTGTCTTGACTAGCCTTTGCTGCTGTTTTTAGGATATAGGCAGCTCTGCTAGTGGATGGCAACTGTTTATAGGTACAACATGTGTAGAGTCGTTTAGGACATGGTCTGAAATTTGCACTGAGCACATGGCAACTCTGAATCTGTGGGTCTAGAAGGAGGGCTTGGGACACCATTGACTTCACTTGGGAAACCTGAGGGATGATCTTTTTAGACTAAGATAGTTTCTGGACTGTTATAGGCAGTGTGATAGGTAGGGTATCTTGTGGCCCATTCAGAGGTTTAGCTGGCCTAAGGAAAACATTAGGGCCTTTCTAGTCCATAGTCATTGGTTTTCCAAAGGCCAAAAACAATAGGTGATTGCATAGTGTGCAGGGCAGTCCCTCCCCTGCCTCCACCCCATCTCATCCATACATGCTTACCAAAGCCTTAATCCCCTGCAAGGACTAAAAGCAAATGTCAGCAAATGTTAAAAACAAAGTTTGCCCCCCCAAAAACTCCAATTAAACTATTTTGGCCTATAATTAAGTTTGGGCTTCTTGAAGAATGAATATTATACAGAGGAGATTTATTATCACCAAGTGTGCATATAAATGTATTATCTTGAGTTCTAAAGTCGTTTTGAAAAAACATAAGGGGCTTGGTTTTCTTTTCAAATATTATTTTCAGCAGATAACGTTGATATTAAATTATTTGGTCTCTTTATTGTTTGGCTAGAAAATGAAGATTTTTTTGGTCTTTTATATGCTTTCTTTAACATAAGCAGCAGTTTCTGGTAAGGTAGTATTGCTGTGCATTTGCGTTATTATAGAATTAAATTATGGATTCCGTCATTCAAAAGAGAATGCTTTATAAATCAAGTAAAATCTCCTAACTAAGATAAATAAGTTTTTAAAATCTGTGCTGCCTCATATTCCATACTTTAGTTTTATAGCCCAACATATGTAATTTTTGAAGTGTAATTCTCTTTTTTTTCTATTTCTGTGTACTGTTTTTGCTTTGTAAAAATGTCATCAGTTTCCCAAGAAAAGGCTTAAGAAAAGTTATTATATATAAAGGACAGTAATATAAACGCACAAAGGCAGGTAGTAATTCTTTATCTGTAGATTGGCAGGAAATGTGCCGAATACACCATGTTCTCTCTCTTCCTTCCTCCCTCCTCTTTCTGATTGTATTCAATATAAATGATGTTAAAACTCTAAATTATAACAAATGGTAAAATTCTAATATATTCCTTTTCCTTTCTTTTTTTTTTTTTTTTCTTAACTAATCTATTGTTTGGAATTCCTGAATATAAGAGACGGTCTTCATTATATAGCTTTTTTTATAGGAGGGTTACAAATCGTGTACTGTATAAATGTCTGTAGTTGTGTTTGCCACTTGTCTGGAAAAGCTATCAAGGTGGATTTGCCATCCTAAGGCAATCCTGTTCAGCAGGTGCCTAATTTGTTTTTTCGCTGCTGCTATGTAACTGTCCCAAAGCATGTGAATTGGAGCAATGGTCCTAAATGTGAGGAAAAATAGTGTAAGGGGAGGGAAGGTCAGGAGTAAGTTATTTAGACCTGGTTAAGGGGTAGAGATTTCCAGATGCAGTTACAGTTAGTGATAAAAAGAACTGAGATTCAGAAGAGGAGTCAGAGGCAGAGATATAGATTTAAGATCTGAGCAATTGCTGTGATAGGTGAAACTTTACAAGAACTTCATTTCTCCAGGGAAGAGATTAGAGAGGAGACCAGAGGATTTAGGACTGAACCTTGGGGAAATCTTTAATGTTAGGATGTGGGAGGAGGAAGAGAAACCCAAAGTATAAACTAGCAGGCTTGGCGGTGGAAGCCACCAAGTATCACTGCTTCCCCCAGGCTGTTAATTCTGAGCCATATAACCTCAGTTGTGCTGGGTGGAGGGTGAAGAATCTAGGGACAAAAATCCTTGTGACTTTGCCTTGGTGCATGTTGTGGTAGGTGTAAAAAGAAGCTTATATTTTCTCGTAGGGGACACATTAACAGGGAAAAAAAAACATTACTGTGATTTTTAGCACATATAACAATTTCCCTACAGTCGTTATATGTGCTGAAATTATGTAGCTATTCCTGGCCTGCTTTTATGAATTCAGGAAGATTGACCTAATACCTAATTCTCAACTCTTACTACCAATAAATTCTTCCTTTTCCAGGATTTGCAGAGAATTGTAAAGGTACATTGATACTAAGATATTATTTGATTTTCTAAATCATTAAATTAGATAAATTGCTCAATGAGAGAAACAAAAAGACAAACCTGACAGAAAACAGTAGTGGCCCCTTTAATTTCTCAAGCTATGTTTTAAGTTATACTCAGCTTCTCGCCAGGGGAGGTAAAATAATAGAGCCTCCTCATCCCAGTGATCTAATATTTAAAAGAGCAGTTGCAGTGCATCTAGTTTTGCATTGTTAGGGAAGGTTAATGTCTCCTCTACCCTTCTAAGTTCTTCTGGCTTATCTAAGAATTAAATTGACATGAGACAGATTAACAGGAGAAAATAAAATTTAATGATGTGCCTATGGGAATCCCAAATATATGAGGTTTCCTGACAGTCAGGCAATTGAGTTTTATATGCCATCCTGAGCTAAGGAGAAGGGGGCAAGTGTCTGGGAGTTCAAAGGGAAGGAAGGCAATGCACAGCAAGAATGAAAAGGATAAATGTTTAGTAAATAAATGTTTGCTGGGGACATCTAGAAACAATGGGACACAGAGAAGACTTTGATCAAACAGGCCTTGGTAAGTTTTCCCCAGTCTACCACACCTAGCTCATATTCTTTGTAGAGATCTCTGGTGATAGCTCTTCTTCCTGGAACAGGCCCTTTATCTGAATTCTTTTAGGCAGTTAAGGGGGAAGTAAAAGAAAAACTTCCTCATGCCAAAGAGACACATTTTGGGGTGGCAGATTTTTCTCTAGCATTTTATGTAGCTCTATAAAGTTTAGAAGGACGCACCTTGATGCTCAGTGAAACCATAGAAATGCTTTAATAACAAGATAACTAAATATGGAGAAGTGATGGTGTAAAACGTTCAGGCATCATAAATAAGGAAAATTTATAGCATGTGTTGAAAACACTTGATGAACTAACTCATTTTCTCCTAGGAATTCAAGTGGCCTAGCAACTTGCACTCTTGGGTTTAAAAAAAAAAGTTGTCTTTTTTCTCTACCTCTTCCTCCAATAAGCTCATGCACTGTAAAGAATTTTAGCCTCTGTGGGAAGAAGAATTACTTGCAGTTTTGCTTGTCTTAAAAGGATTATGGTGAACCTAAAAGGATTATTGGTGCAAATGAGAGAATCATTAGCTGCTCTGTGTAGTGCTCATGAGTTAAAAAAATACAACAACAGGTCACATTTGACAATGTGATAAATACCTGTCCAGTGACATCCTTTGCTACCATAGAGTAAACACCATAATTAGCAGCCATGTCAGCATTTAGGCAACACTAAAGGCATGTTTGATTCCACAGGACTGACATATTGTCCTGTCTGGAAGGGCCTAAACCATCAATAAAACATTCAAATAGCTGAGACTCCAAAATACACTTTGGTCTCAATCATTCAAGTGATCTAGGGCCATTGCCTCTGGAACCTAAAGAACAGAATCTCAGTGGATTTCAGGATGTTTCTCACATTGTATGGATTCAGGCAAAAGAACTTTAGAGCTAAAATTGTCCAGAATAATGGATCTAAAATTTATGAGATATATTTATATGAATATAGTTATTTAACATTTTCCCTCAATGTTCTCGATTGTTTGTATATGTAGATCCAAATCCTGAATCTTATTTAACATGATTTTATACCTCATGTTGAAAAATTTTATTTAAATCTGTGCTGTTATGATGATATCATACTATTCCTAACATTTTATATTTTAAACATAATTTGATGTATATCAAAGTAGAGCAGAGCAAACTGGCTAAGAGAATGAGTTCTGGAATCAGACGAACTGGGTTTTAGTTCTGCTTTTGTCTCTTTTTAGCTGCGTGAGCTTCTCTTACTCTCAGTTTCGTCATCCGGAAGATGAAGGTTATAAGAGTATCAACCTTAGAGGGTTGGTATGAAGATTAAATAAGTTAATTCATGTAAAGTACTAATTACAGTACTTGGCAGATACTAAGAACTCGATACAGAAACTTTTCTTATTTTCTTAGCCATACTAGATTTTTAGAAATATTAATGGAAATTTGTCTAATTCTTCCTTTTTAGGGTCGGTGTGCTAGAGAGAACTGCAAGTACCTTCACCCTCCTCCACACTTAAAAACACAGCTGGAAATTAATGGACGGAACAATCTGATTCAACAAAAGACTGCTGCAGCCATGTTCGCCCAGCAGATGCAATATATGCTCCAAAATGCTCAAATGTCATCACTTGTAAGTCATAGCTTTGTCTTTGAAAAAATGTGTTTAGGTGTCTTTTTTTTTTAAGAATATATATCTAGGGCCGGCCCCGTGGCTTAGTGGTTAAGTGAGCGCGCTCCACTGCTGGCGACCCGGGTTCGGATCCCGGGCGCGCACCGGCGCGCTGCTTCTCCGGCCATGCTGAGGCTGCGTCCCACATACAGCAACTAGAAGGATGTGCAGCTATGACACACAACTATCTACTGGGGCTTTGGGGGGAAAAAATAAATAAATAAAATCTTTAAAAAAAAAAAAAAAAAAGAATATATATCTAGGGGCCGGCCCGGTGGCATAGCGGTTAAGTGTGCGCACTCTGCTTCGGTGGCCCGGTGTTCGCATGTTCGGATCCCGGGCACAGACCAACGCACTGCTTGTCAAGCCATGCTGTGGCAGGCGTCCCATATAAAGTAGAGGAAGATGGGCACGGTTGTTAGCCCAGGGCCAATCTTCGTCAGTGAAAAGAGAGGAGGATTGGCAACACATGTTAGCTCAGGGCTAATCTTAAAAAAAAAAAAAAGAATATATATATCTACATTGGAATAACCTTGCAGGGCCTTTGGGACGTCAGTTACAGAAGGATTTAGGATGCAAGCTACTATATTAATTGACACTACAAAGCTGTTCAGCATGTGAAGGGAGCAATCAGGTGTGTTGCATTTAAAACCTGGGTTGCGTTTAAGCACAAATTCAGTTTATAGAAGAATATTAATAAAGGAGCAGGGGCATTTTAAGATGAGGAGAAGGGTTGATTATTATTACATGTAAACCTATGAATTCTAGGATGTTAATTCAAACAAATTTCCTTGCTCTTTGATGGTGGTTGTGTTGTTACTTTTTAATAGGCTTTTTATTTTGAAATAATTTTAGATTTAAAGTTGCAAAGATAGTACAGAGAGTTCCCATATTACCCCTCACCCAGTGTCCCCCACTGTTAATATCTTATATTTCCATGGTATATTTTTCAAAACTATGAAACTGACATTTACACATTACTGTTAACTAAACTTCAGACTTTAATCAGGTTTCACCAGTTTTTCCATTGGTGTACTTCTTCTGTTCCAGTGTCCATCCAGGGCACTACAGTGCATTTATTTGAATTCTGTCTCCCCTCTCTCCTCTGCTCTGTGGCTGTTGCTCAGTCTTTCCCTGTTTCCCATGACCTTGACAGTCTTGCAGAGCACTGGCCAGGTATTTGATGGTAGTTTTAACTTAACCTAGCCGTAGAGTTTCCCTTCACAGAAATGAATAAGATTATGGTGTCATTCTAGACCAGTGTCTAGTATTTTTGTGGATCAGTGAATTTAAATGGATCCTTTAAAAAGTAATTTTGTCCTATTGAGAATTCATCTTGTCCTGATACCTTAAAATATAAAGTTGCAATTTGGTCTTGGACCTTTCAGGGGGAATTGGAAACTGTCCCTTTTCTACTGAGTTCTTCCAGGTCTCAAAATTGGTTCAGTGGTGTCTCTTTCTAATTCCAGGAATGGTCTAATTCCTTTAAACTATTATTGAGATACTAATTTGACAGGGTTACATTATTTTTATTTGTTACTCATTTCATCAGTGATTATGCAATAAACACACTGAAAGCTGAATAGTGTATATATTATTCAGATGAAATAAAAATGTGGGAGTAGGTCGGTCTGCTCTCAGCAAAACCTCTCCCATTATAAAGTTGATTCTCAGAATTCAAGGAGATCTCTGTAGATAAAGCACCCCTTAACTGGTACATCTTTATAGATACTGCAAAATCAGGTGGTGGGGGCATTGATGAGTCACTAAAATTTTGCCCCCTGATACTCTTTTTCCAGAATGTCCAGACAAATTTAAGTAAAATAAATAGATTTCATGTCCTATACTATTAGTTTGCCAAAAACATTTGCCTTGGAACTCAGTGCTGATTAATTGCCTTATAAATTAGTTCCCAGAAGGTCACCAGTGAGCTCCTCAGAGCGCCTCTTTGACCTTTAGTAATACTTAACGTAGTTGAACGCCTTCTTCAAACTCTTGCCTGGGGTTTCACACACTGAAGTATTTCGGTTCCTCCCTACTTCTAAAGGGATAGGGAAGAGAAAGTCTTCTAGAAACTGAGAATAGTATGAACAAAGCCACAGAGAAATGAATGTGCTTGGTGAGTCCAGAAAATGCAACTAGATGAGTAATAAAGCAAGGGAGATTTTCACCCACTGTTAGCTACTCTCAGCCTCTCATGGGATGTTCCAATTTCAGACTGAGCAGAGAATAGACAACAGATTTTACCATACACCTGAGCCCAGCTTTTCCTATAGACCTGGAGCATATATCTTTTCCTAGGTCAAGGGACAACATCGGGGCACCAATCAAATTCCCTGTTTCAGAGGATCGGAGAGCAAGGCCTGGGCTAAAATAGGGGTCAAGACAGAAGGCTGACTATTCATCTTCTATTCAGCTTCCCGTAGAGTCTCTCCATTCTAAGTCTCAACCCTTTGTGCATCATTGATCATGCTGGCTCTCACTGGAGAATAGGGAATGGGTTTTTTAGAGACTGATGAGAGATCCATTGAGTTTTCAGGCCTCTTGTGCTTTCTAATTTGATTCTCCATGCTTTCTAGAATAGAATACATTTCCTTCTTTTCTTCAATGAGGGTGATTTCAGATTTCAGGCTACAGAACATGACTGATACGACTCACAGGAGTACAATTTATTCTCTAGCACATCACGAAATACAAAACATTGCTTAGAAGACCCCAGGGAACAATTGGAAATTGCTTTTCTACCTTGTAGATTATTTAACAATGGTTGTTGTGATGTGATAAACTGATAAAAGATTAATTTCTACAGTTACTTTGTGTACAAGAAAACTAACCCTGAGATGTTTGATATGATCCTCTTTTGTGATCTTGAAAGCTGCTTTGTACGCGTGTTGTAACTGAGCTAGTGTGAGCCATTTTAAGTGACATTTACCAGTCTGATTTGAAAGAAATGTTCTTTATTATGGATCTTGATATTGCTATAGAAATAACATATGATTTTGCTGAATTTCTCTGGTACTTACTCTCTCTAAACAACTCTCTATCCCTTTTAACCACCCCTCCACCCAATAATCTGATTCTTTTCTCTAAAATAGTCAAGGTTTTGTTTACATTTCCAGTCCAGATGTTTGTATGATTGCATATTAAGACCCATTTGGTATCACTGGCTTGAACTTCAGGTCTTTCCACAAAGTATGCTTTGATCTGTTTCTAGGATACCAGAAAAGTATATCTGCTTTTGGAAAACTGAGTATGGTTTGTTTATTATAAGCCCCCAGAAAAAGAGAATGTCAACCTAAATGGGATGGTAGCTGGAGAACAGATTCTGTTCAGTGTGACTGAACAATGAATAAAAGCCACACCTAGTCAATTTGGGTAGAATGCTTGCTATAGCAGGCAAGTTTTGTTCACTGTATTTAACAGGTCTGAATTGACATTTGCTGGTATAAAATTCCACCTCTGAAAGCTTTTGTTAGCTTTATTGAGGAAATTTAGCAAGTGAGACAAAGGGTGTGGCTCCCTAGTATTTTTCAATGCAGTTTAAGAGAGAGTTTCTGATGTTCATAGAAAAAAATTAGAAGTTTAAGAACTCCCCTTGGCATGATTAGGAGGCAAACATGAGCACTGTAGAAGAATTTTAGGAAAAGTAGTCACACTGGATTACTCACAAGCAAAGCTAATGTTTTAAAATTTCAATTTCACAGCTAGAAATTTTCATTGTAGGGAGGAAGGATTGTCACTGCTTGGTGGTATGTATGTATGTATAAAGTTGATATGACGTTATAAGGCTATTAACATATTTTTGATTTAGACATTTTGCATAATCTAGACCTGTCCATAGCTAGTCAATTCCTTTAGTTTCTCTCTTTGAATGTGGTGATTCACGTGGAAGCAGTTCTTTACACACAGGTGAACTTGGCCCAGTCGAGTGTATTCACCTGATGATTTATATAGAGGTTATTGGCTCAGCCCATTTGGCTCAGCCATTGGGGTGTGCCAAATCCTCTGGTCTGCTGTATGTATTTCACAGCTTGCGTTCCTGTGGCCAAGTTATGATGTTCCAAACCACGGAAGCTGTGAACATGGGTTTCACTCTAGGCTTTTCCTTTATCTCAGATAGAATCATCTGAGGTCTGTCTGGACCCTCCGCATTTCTAACATATTTTTATAATTCTATTTACCAAATACATTTATCATAAACAAGCTTGTATTTTTAGCTGACATTAATATAGTAAGAGTGAAGGTGATGTAGCACTTCAGAACCAAAAGGGGAAAATATAGGCAGTTCCAGTAGATAGGGGGATGGGAGATATACTAATGAATGAATAATATCATTATTTTTAGACTGCATTGCTTTTAATGTTTTCTTTCTTTTATTAAATAGGAGCTATAAGGTATTGCAATAGTCCCCCCTATCCTTGGGGGATACGTTCCAAGACCCCCAGTGGATGCTTGAAACTGCGGATAGTACCCCACCCTATATATACTATGTTTTTTCATATACATACGTGTTTGAGGTGTGACAGCAAAACTGGCACGAATTTCTTTTTCCTTCTTCCCAATTTCACGGATAGAAGATTCATTCTTACCGTAGATCTTAGCAACCTCAACATACAATCTTTTTCCTTTCCTTATTAAGTTGAGAGCTTTCACCTTTTCACTTAAAGGAGGTACTTTACTGCTTCTCTTTGACATATCTGAATTGCTAGCATCACTCCTCTTGCACTTTGGGGACATTATTAAGTAAAATAAGGGTGACTTGAACATGAGCACTGTGATACCACAACAGTCGATCTGATAACCCAGAGGGCTACTAAGTGACTGACTACCAGGTGAGTAGTGTATACAGCGTGGATCCATTGGACAAAGGGGTGATTCACGTTGTGGGCGGGATGGAGCAGGATGATGTGAGATTTTATCATGCTACTCAGAACAGTGCGTGATTTAAAACTTATGAATTG